AGCAAAGCAAAGAATCAAGAGTGAAGAGACAATCTGAAGAATGGAAGAAAATCTTTTCAAACTATTCATCTGGCAAGGGGCTAATTTCCAGGATATATCAGGACCTCAAAAAGCTCAAGAGGAAAAAAACCCTCAACAAGAGGCAAATTCCCTGAATATGCATTTCTCAAAGAAGACCTAAAAATGGCCAACAAATATGAAAATTGCTCAATATCATGAATCATCTGAGAAATGCAAATCGAAACCATATTAGGTTACTATCTTACCTTAGTTATAATGACTATAGGAAAAATTACAAGAGAGTATAAATGCTGAAGAGGATGTGGATCAAGGGGAAAGCTTGTACACTGTTAGTGGTGATGTGAATTAATACAGCTATCATGGAGAATAATATGATGATTTCTCAAAAAATTAAAAATAAAGCTGCTATATCCACTAGTTCAATGCTGAATATATATAGTATTCAAGGAAAATGAAGTCAGTATGTGAGAGACCCATAGCTCTTCCAGCTCTGTTCACAATAGCCAAGATACAGAATCAGTGGAGAGGTCCGAGGACCAACGAATGGATTTAGAATGTAGTGCACAGCCATAGTAAAACACTACTCAGCTACCAAGAGAAGGAAACTTGTCATTGTGCATCATGGACAAACTTGAGGACATTATGTTAACTGAAATAAACTAGCACAGCAGGACAAACTGCAGGCTTTCATGTGTGGAAGCTAAAAAGATTGGTTTTGTAGGTCCAGAGAGTAAAACTGTGGTCCTCAGTCTGGGGAGAGTGGGGCAGTAGAGGGAGGCCAGACAACAGGTACCAAGGTGCAGTTAAGTAGGAGGAAAAAGTTCAGTGCCTATGGATGACCCTGGGTTATGGCATTTTATAGTGCACCTTACCCAGAGCTAGGAGAGAGGTCTCGGTGCCTCCTAACACAGAGAATGGCCTCTGTCTCAGGGGATGGAGATGCAGTGATCTAGTGTCACACACTGTTTAGCACTCTGTACCCCATAATAGGCACCAATTAGATGAAGAGGCCAGGAAGATAGCCTCAAGGTACCTGTGGGATGTGTGCTTTAGGAAAAACTTCTCCACTCCACATCATCAACCTTGCTTCTCAGGTCCTACTTTTTCCACCTTTGCATAGGTCTGAATTAGGAGAACCCTTTTAGCCAGCTCTTGCTCCAGTCTTTTCTCTTGCTGACCACCTGGGATTATGGGCTTCAGTCTTTTGTGATATATTTCTTAAGTAGATAACTATTATTCCATATATGAAGCTCCTATTAAAACTAATTTTAAGCTATTGTTTCCTTTAATTATGCAGTCTTAGACAGGATATCATGTCTGCATCTTGTACTAGGAATAACCACTACGAAGACAACAATATGCAGTGTATTATTGAAACTGTCCTACTAATCGGTTTTGAAACTGTCTCATTGCTATTTGTTTCTCAATAAAATTAAAAAAATAATTATACAGTCTTACTGTTAACTTTAAGTTCTTTTCATTTTTGTAGAAATATTTGGAACATGATATATTCTCTTTATGTGATGCCCATATTTGTACTTATGTTGGACTTTTTTATTGTTGAACTAGAACCGGAAGATGACGATGTGATGAGAAACATAACTAGGCTAAGAGAAAAGCTTGGTTGGAAAACTGTGTTAGCACAGCATGATATGAAATATAGTAGAGCTAAAATTCAGAAGATTACTCTAAAGGTATCCTATTTTATTCAGTTTTGAACTATAACAATCAGTATTTGAAAGTATGTTAATTTTTATTTACTTTAGGTATTATATCAAAATCTCACATAATAGTCATAATCATTATTAACCGGTAAATGCAAATGAAAAGTATTTGACATTTTATTTCAGTTAAAGAACAGACAAGGGATAAAGCATATATATAATATATATATGTATATATACATATGTATTTATATATCCTAAACTACATCAAAGTACTCATATTTGTCCCCTCTCCTCCTTTCCTCTAATTGACTGGTTCAGGATGTGGCATCATCTTGCTCCTGCACATCATTTGTGTCTGTGTGTATGCGTGACTGTGACAGAGGGAGAGACTTAGAAAGAAAGCAAACAAACATAGCAGAAATACACTCTGTCCTGCATACCCTTGCACCAGCAATCTGTACTTTATCAAGCTCTCAGACAATCCTGATACACAATGGAGAACCACTCCTCCAAACCAAGGGTCAGCAAACTCCGCTCTCCAAAGGCTCAGATGCAGGCTTTAAACCTACTTTTAAGGTTTAAAGATAGCAGAAGCCAAAAACTGTACAATTGGATCCAAATTAAAACTGTGGTAATTAGAAACTATTTGGTTATTTATTTTAGTAACTTCTAAGGGCATCACTAAACACTAAATGGTTTTTAATAGTAAAATTCAGTTACCCAGCGAAGACTAAATTGATTTTAAATGTAGAATTTTTTATCAATAAAAATAAAAGTTTCAAACCTAAAAGAAAGTATCTTTAAAATTTGCACATAAAATTTTTCTTAATGTACAATGAGCAGTTTTTCAATAATGCCAGTGGAATGAGGGAGAAACATTACATTTTATTGCCAAAGCTTTGAACATGAGTTCAGGGTTAGATTTACATGTAAATCTCTACTTTATTTTTCTTTAATTTGTAACTTCTCAAATTAATTTATGGAAATATTAATTTCTGCATAAATTTAATGGGATTAAAGTATCAAATCTTAGTCTTCTTAATTTTAAGAAATTATGAATATTAAGTTCATGATTGTTAAGACGATGCAAGTGAAACACTCTTATTATTTATTACTCAAAAATTAAATATTACTAGACTACAAAAGCACCATCATTATCAAAATAAACAAGGCATTTAAAATGCCCAAAAGGTTTTTATATTGGAAGGCAAAGATATTGAACATGACATATAGTAAACTACACATCACCAAGTTCTTTGGTTAGTAAGCATGTAGTAGTAAAACATACATAACCTTTTCTGAATGTTGTTCTCACACTGTGCTCAAGAATTTAATATATTAAATATATTAAATCTTTTATAAGATTGACCTTATTAAGGTTTGACAAAACACAATCTGATAGTAGTTCTTCTGAAAATATTATTCTTATTTTTAATCTGCATTGAAAATTTTCCAGTTCACCTGGTAATCTGTACAGCCATTTTGTTATTAAGTCAGATTAATTTTTTTTTTTAACTTCAGGAACCTTTGAAAGATGATGGTGAATTTGTATACTGCATTCCTCGGGGGAATCTTAAAAGATTTCACAGTTCATATGATCTTCAGGTAGTATCTGCTCACAGAGCTAGAAATTGCAAAAAATTTTGGACTATTTCAGCTTCATTTATTACAAAGGTAATAATCTATACTTGATTGGCTTTCAAAGTAAAAATAATATCCAATTTAGAATTTAATTGCATGAATTTATCTCTTTTAGAGAGACTTGGTCATTTGAAGAACAGTTTATGTTTTAGAATCTTCTTAGGAGGAAGTTATTAGTGATTTTTTTCTTTGTACATGTTTAAGCTTGAAGATTTTAAGTTCTCTTTACCCCCACCCATATAATTTATTAATATTTGGTATAAACTTTTAATGGCATTTTAGGGGATCATAGGAGTGATAATAATAAAGAAGGGAAGAGTCTTGATTGGCACAGTTGCAGAAAATCCTGTTGCATTTTTAGTCCCTCACACACACTAGAGGCCACAGCTAGCTGATGGATGACTGATGGCCAGTTACTTGCTGTGCCAGCCTGGCCTCCCCACATGTGCAGCAGGCTGAGGGTGGGGCTGGGGCATACTGAGGAGCAACTTGTACACACACAGGAATACACAACACCTTTCACTTCTGGAAGAACATGTTGAAAGAAGTTTGCATTCGGATGGGGATCTCTTGAGAAGAGGAGGACTCCCTTAAGGTAGTGCAGTCGCTTCCAAATGTAAACATGGGCCATCTGCATAGGGTGTAAGCTGGACTGCCACATTCACACAGTCAGAATTGAGTGCATGGATGCTGCTTTTACAGCAATGTGGCCACTGTGCCACTCGGACTTTGAGCGGTTCTTTGTGGGATGTGTCTCTGGGAAGAGAAGCTTGTCTTGGCCTTTCTCTGTTGGAGGCAAAGTGGCAGGAGGAGAGGGAAGAACAGAAGTAGGGTGTTGGCGAAATCAAATTTGGTGCAGATGAAGTTGGTGAGACTTCAGATATGGAAAAGATAGTCTTATAGCAACAAATGGTTATGAGGCAAGCTTTTATAATTACTCTGTTGACTTCTTGAAAACACAACATTTTTCAAAGTAATAAAGTTAGGCTTTGTGTTTGTACTTCTAGGTTACTAAAACAGGAATTGGTACAGAAGAAGCAGAAGTTGTTCCTACTTTGGAATGGCTATCAGAAAGACGGCGGTACTATTTATTACAACAATTCAAGATATTTTCCAATTTCCGGTGAGATGAATAAAAGCAACTAGTTCTTTGCAGTTTAATCCTGTTGTAAAAGCAGTTGTAAGATGACATCTGGGTCCCACAATGACAAGGCCACATTGAAGGGGGTGTCCTAGGCCAGTGGGGGATTCCACAGAAGAGTTTCAGCTGACACTCATTTAAGTACCAAAATTTGTAATCTAGTCATCTTGGATGAATATTGCCAAAAAGATACTTTATGATCTAGCACACTTAGACAGACTATTGACCTTGCTTTAGCTACTTTCTATTTTTCATTGAGTATTTATTGAGCAGTCATGAAAGACCCAGATTTCTCAAGGCTGAGGCTAGTGTATTGGAGAAACCAAGCAGACATCCTGCTTCCAAAGACCTATGTGTAGTGGGTGAGGGGTAATGGGCAAGCATGTAAACGTGAGAAACGCCAGGCGGAGAGTCAGGGTTATGAAGGAAAACGCGGCAGAGCAAAGCGCTGGGCCACTTGTAGATGGAGCTCCTCACTGAAGCGTCTCCCACTATCTAAGGTACTTCACGTTATGTTGCAAAGCAGTGGAGTAGACCCAGGCTGCCATTCTTCTAGTGCTTGTACAGTACCTGCTTTTATAATTACCTTGTTTCTTCTCCAGTGTCTGCCTTTTCTTCTGATCTCTGCTATCTGCTGGGGCCTAGGACAACAGATCAATTATATGTATACAGTCTGTGCAGTGCTGGGGACCAAATCCAGGGCAAGCGCTACTACTCTTGAGCTATGCTCCCAGCCCAGATAAACATTTTAAATTGTTACATTTATTATTTTAGGTTAAAGAAAGACCCAAAGAACTCTTTGATAAGGCGAGTGCATTGAATTTTTGTAGCAGAAAAGTTATGTGTTTATTGAACACTTTGTCATATACCTATTCTGTTTTACTGGCGTGAAAAACAGGGTGTGTGTTCCTATACTACTTGCACTCTAAGAGAGGAAATTGATTGAAAAGTAACTGAATACACGAGATAACTTCAGACAGCAGTAAGGTCCAGAAACATAATAAACCATGAATAAAATGGATGTGGTATATGTTGCTGCTTACATGGGTGTAGATGAGGTATGTGGGCAGAGACCTGAACAGAAAAGGAGGTGGCCCCTGGGATTCTAGGCAAGGACAGCTGTGAGTGAGTCATGGAGCAGAACGAGGCAGTATGTATTCCTGTGTGGGAGCAGAGCATGCAGAGTTAGTGGGAGTCAAGCTGGTTTCCTCCTGTCTAGATCCGTGTACCTGTAGGGCTGTGGCTGAGCGACAGCTGGGAGATGTTCCTAGCCAGGCCCTGTGCTGATCACCCTATCAGTTAGGTTCCAGTGGTGAGGCTAGAGAGGTTGTGAGTCTGGTTGAGCCACTTCAGGTACTATCTCAAGTAAGAATTTCTGTATCCATTTACTTAAAACTGTCACTGCTGGACTTTGCAATGTTGTTCTGGCTTTGTAATAAATCCTTAGGGTCCATTCTGCTCCGAAGAGTTTTCATGTATTAAACCTATGAATTAGGGTAAGAATTGGGATATGAATTGTCAGAATTCTTATAGGTATAAGAATTATCATTTTAAATGAAAAATAATTTTCAGTAAATCCATGGCCCAAATGATTTGTGTACTTCCTCCCTCTTTCCCTTCTTTCCTCTGTTCTTGATTTCCTTTCACTTTTGGGGGTGGGACCATGGCCATGCTAAGCATATGCTTCACCAGTGAGCTACTCCTGGCTCCATTTTCTCTCTTCATGTTAAGAAAAATATATATTGAAATTTAGGGACGGGAAGATAGCTCAGTGGAATAAGTGCTTGCTTGGCAAGCTCAAGGTCCTGAGTTCAATCTCTGGTACCACAAAAAAAAAAAAGAAAAAAGAAAAAATTAGCCTTAAACTTGTAAATGTATTAGAATTTATTTTAACAAATTATATATAGTCTTTTGGAGACAGCATCTCACTATACAGTTCAGGCTTGCCTTAAGCTCACTTTGTAGTTCAGGTTGGCCTCGACCTTGCTATGATTCTCCTGCCTCAGCCTCCCAAGTGCTGGGATTGTAAGCATGTGCCACCACATCTGGTTCTGTAGTCTTTAATCATTATATGTATGAGAGAGTAACAAGTCAGGCTGACACCCCCGAAAGGACTTGTGTGAACGTGGGTGTCAACCTGAGTGTCCCCTCTCTGTGTATCCCTGCACTAGCCTGGCCTTCCGGGATCCTGATAACAGCAACATCAGGGCTGGCTGGCTGGGTCAGGCTGGGCTGGATGCAGGTGTGGCCTGCAGAGCACGCGGCCTGTTGTCCCTTGGGAGCTTGGGATACCTGTTCCCTGAACAGACAGGAGACTTTTCAGGTCTTAAGATCCTTTGAGTTTTTAAAAGTTATACATGTATCTGCTTTTTCATAACTGTTAAATAACAGCAAAATAATATACATCATATTGATCTTTTACTTACCAGTACTCAAAGATTTTTTTAAAATATACTTCTTTATGATCACTGAAAATTGGATTTTAATGCTTCTTGATATGAATCGTTTTTCCAAGTAGCAAACCAAATAACAGAAAGGAAATTACATACATCTACAGTGAACTATTTATAGGAATATTTCAACTAAGGGAATATTATATCAATGATAATTATAATGAGTTTATCTTATGTTTTGATTTGCACTTTGTTAACAGTTTAGGAGAAAAACTTATGAGGTTAATGTTTGGGTAGCCCAGAAAGCATGAAAAAAATCTCTCGGGAATTTAATATTACTAATGTTTGAATACATTTCTCTTATATAAAATATGATTTATGAACATAGAATGTAAGAAGTCTTTTTTCTTTTCAGAATTAATAAAGCCTTTGTGACCTGGAAATTGAACGTTAAAAGAATTAAGACAGAGAAGAGCAGGTCAGTCTTGATATACAGTGTGCTTCTGAAACTTTTAGAAACAAGATACATTTTAAATGTGTAAGGGAAAGCCAGGCATACTTGCATACACCTGTTATCCCAGCACTTGGGAGGCTGAGGCAGGAGAATCACCATGAATTCTAGGCCAGCCTAGGCTACATAAGTGAGTTCAAGGCCAGCCTAGGCTACATAAGTGAGTTCAAGGCCAGCCTGCACTACATGTCAACACACAGCAAAACTAAACAAAATGTGTAAGAGACAGCCTCACTTGGGCAGTGCAATGAGAGAGCAGTTGTGCTCATGATGTGTTCATGGCCAGCCAACTCCCCACTATGGATTCCACATCCTGGTCACATAAACAAAGAGCTCCTAGCCAACCTGGCATTTTAGTTCTATTCCCTAGAGGGCTCCATGCAGGCATGCTTCGGCTTGGATGGTTTTCTTGGTCGCAGGTTTCTTATGGAGGACTCTGTAGAGCAGGGAGGTCACCCCACAAACCCTCAGGCTTTAAATCTGGGTGGAGAGCACCACAGCTTGGCTGGATTCTAAGACTGCAGGTCCTAGAAGAAAATTACTTAGAAATATGATGAATTTTTTGTTTTCCTTTCTTTCTTTTTTTATTTTCTAAATCCTTATTCCCTTCTCCAATCCTGAACATTTTCTTTTTACTTCTCAGTATCTGTCCTCCATTTTGTTCTTTATTTACTCTTTGGGTTTCTCACAGAAGAAAAATAATGCAATATTGAAATGTGTGTCTGATTTATTTCACTTAAAATTATGTTCTAAAAATGCATCCATTTACCTAAAAATGCCTCAAATTATTTTGGCAGAGTAGTACTCCACTGTATATACAAAGCATATTTTCTGTATCCGTCAGTTGATGGCAGTTACAAATTGTACTGCTATAAACATGGGTGTGTATATATTGCTGTGGTATGATGCTTTTAACTTTCAGGAGGATATCTAGAAGGGGAATAGCTGGCTCAAATGGGACCTCTGGCTTTAGGATTTTGAGGAATCTCCATACTGATTTTTATATTGGTTTTACCAATTTATACTCCCACTAATAGAAGAGAAGAATGTCTTTTTCCCCACAGCTCTGTCAGCATTAGTTATTGGTTGATTTCTTGATAACTGTTTTTTCTGGAGTGAGGTGGAATCTCACTATTGTTTTAATTTGTATTTTTCAAATTGCTAGTGATGTTAGTATATTTTTCCATATATTTTCTGTTTTGGAACAGAATAGAAGAAGTAGAAACAGCTCCAAACATACTCAGCTACCTTATCTTTGGCAAAGGGGCCAAACACCTTCACTGGAAGAAAGATGGCCTCTTTAGTAAATTATGTTGGGAAAACCAGCTTTACACATGCCAAAGATTAAACCTAGACCCATATCTGTCGCTATGCACTAAGATAAAATCAAAATTAATCCAAGATCTAAATTTTAAAACAGAAACGCTAAATCATCTAGAAGACAGAATTGGTAGAACTCTTGAAGACATAGGCATAGGCAAAGATTTTATGAACAAATGCTAATTTTATAGGAAATATTACAAAGAACTGAGATGGAATCATATTTTTATTTATTTATTTTTGTATTTTTAAGGAAGAGTCTACAGGGTCTTCAGGATCTCATTACTATATTGGACTCATAGTGATCCACCTGTTTACAGGCTAAGAAGAGCTGAGATTACAGGTGTGCACCACCACGCCCAGTCTCAATTGCCCTCTCAGTAAGCTGTGGGGGCAGGGCTAGCATGGCAGGCCTGGGGATTGAACCCTCAGCCTCTGCACCTGCTTGCAGGTGCTTTAATGTGCTGAGCTATTTGGCTGGCCCTTAGAATATTTAAAAAACTTTGCACAGGAAGAACATCGATAGAGTAAAGAGATAAGCCACAGAATGGGGGAAATAACTTACGAGCTATTCCTCAAAGGACTAATATCTAGAATATATAAAGAAAAAAAAAAAAAAAAAAAAAGTCAGAACCCCCTCACCAAATTTAGATTTAAATCTGACCCAATCCAAAAATAAGAATCTAGACCCAGTCCTAGCCCAGGCCCGGTGAGTGTATGGGAGAGCTTCCAGCTACCCTACGCCGGTGGGACCTATTACTGGTCCCAGCCCAGGTGCAGCTTGGGTGAGACCCTCTTCCACCCCCTTGGGACGCCCCGCCACCACTCTGCAGCACCTCCCCTAGCCCACCCGCCCAGTAGGAATTTCTGCCACCTTCCGGGAAGCCCCAGACCCAGTCCTAGCCCAGGCCTGGTGAGTGTGTGGGAGAGCTGCCTCTCCCCACTACTCCACCTTGTCCCCTCCAGGCTTAGCTCAGGCCTGGCATACAGGCCTGGGGTGAAACCCTGCAGCTGCAATCCCTGCAGAGAGTGTAGAGGATAGAACCACCCAGCTAGTCCAGGAGCAGAAAATCTTGCCAGAGGGGCACAACAAGTTCACCTCCAAGGGCAGCAGCAGGAAGGAGTTGAGCACAGCAGCCACACCCAAGCCAGGCACAGCTGGATAAATCCAAACTTTGTAGATCTGCACCTGAACTTCAGTACCTGCTAAAGTTATAACTACAATGAAGATCTACAACAAAGGTCAGAAGACAGTGCTACACAAAATGATGAGAAGGAACAAAATGCAACCTCAGAACCCAAGCCCACCCATAACAA